CATTATTTCATGTCTTTGATACTAATTTTGATGTTTTACAGCGTGAACTGCTTATAATGTGTGTGCATGCAACATTAACAACTTGAAACATGACCATTTACAATATAATCAAGAAAAAGTCAACAACATTGATCAACTTTGAGCATTAGTTATTTTTCTCAAATTGTGCAGCCTTAGTTTACACCTTTTTTGTTCAAACAGTTTATGGCTGTTAGCCCTTTTGATACTTGGCAAATGTATCAGAACTATGAGCCAAACGATTGATTCAAATGGATTGATAGGATCTTATTCCAATCAAATACCATTGACCATTCCTATATAATCAATGGCTTTTCAACAGGGGGCTTCTGACCCCTAGGGGGCCTTGAGAGACACTGCATACAAATTGTTTCATGATGAAAGTGTGACTTTATAGGTTTGTTTTAGGGCTGCTCGATTATGGCAAAAATCGTAATCTCGATTATTTGGGTCAATAATTGATATCACGATTATTAAAAACGATTATTTACTTTGAAAAAAATCCATTTATTGAAAAAAAAATGTTGAACAATGTTTTCAACAGTTGATTTCCCTGAACTTTAATTCAACTGAAATGTGTTAAATAAAAAATAATAATAATCGTTGCAAGCCTAAATCCTAATTGCGATTAAAATACAATAATTGAGCAGCCCTAGTTTGTTTGTAATATTTTAAAAAGGATACATAGATTGTAGGCCCAGGGGATCTTAGCCTTAAACAGTTTAAAGACCTGCAATAATGTCTCAAATAGTCAAATTCATAGAATGCTGTCCTTTATTGTGTTTTGTCCTTGTATTGGTTTGAAAATACTTTTGGTTTAAATAATCCTCATAAGGTAATTGTTTTGTAAAGTAAGCAAACCTTGCTAGCATTTGGAACAATTCCTGATTAGATTAAGCAATAAAGGCTCCCTGTGACCTTTCCATATGCAGGTGTTTAAGATCAAGGCCATAGAGGTTGTATCAACATGCCTTTTTAATAATGTATGCTGTATTTGTTCTTAAATGTATTTAGCTTTTAATCTGTAAAGCACTTTGAATCGCCATGTGCTGAAAAGTGCTATATAAATAAAATGGCCTTGCCTTGCCTATGACCTTACTGCAGCAAATGAATGTAGGCTCCAAATGTAACAAGCTATTTGACTCACAGAATGTCTGCTGGAAAAAAGATAAATCGATCAATGTTATGCAGGGGGGTTTCTGTGGTACTGCTGCAGTGAAAGCTGCTCAGCCAGCAGGGACAGCCATAACGCTTCCCCTGTATCCTATAACCATAACCCATAGCCATAGTGTCTTCGTCTGAGAGAGTCTTCACTTACATGAATGGCATCACATGAATACTTTGATATGGATTTTAGTGGCTTTATGTGTGATTTGCAGTTTTCACCAACTAAGCTAAAGGCGGCTACCGTTGTTTTTTTACTTAATAAGTTTCAGACATTACTATGTGGGTGACTACTGATGTATTTGAAGTTGTAGAACAAACTAGAACATCTCAAGGAACCCATGACTTTGAATGGGAATCAGAAGTGGTCAAATGCTAACTCATTTCCGGGTTGTACAGTAGGACTCATTCCTGCACCACTCATTAGAGATCCAAGATGTCTTCCTCACTCACACATTTGAACGCTGCCAATGGTAGCTGAGTATTCTTTTCTGGATCCCTAGCTAATTTATAGCTTAAAATAGTAAACGTGCAAATACAGAGTGATGTATTTTAGTACACTTCTTCAATATGTGGTGCTTCGGCCTCCTACTTAACACAACCTAAATGCTACGTTAATCCGTTGTGTGTGTGAGACAGGAAGAGGGATGTGTGTGTCCCATCAGTGAAGGGCGAGTCCTTCAGCACACGGGGTCAGTACTGAGGAGGTGAGATGATATTGTGAGGATATTTAATGAGAGGATAAAAGCAGAAGCGAACGGGGGATGAGTATTAGCCTTTTTAGATATCATTAAACATTAATACTGTCAGGGGGCTGGAGCACACTGGGGTGCTTTTCATTGACTTTCATGCTGCGTGCTAATAGACTATCTCCTCTGGGGACCTACACACACCCCTCCCCCCACACCCAGCCCTCGGTATGGTGCTAAACTAAAGCGAATATCAGATTGCCACCCTGCTTTAAAGGATAAGCTTAAAGTGTGTGTGGTGAGTGTGTGTGTGTTAATTGTAGATTGTGTGAGGTCATGCTCTCTTTAGCTCATGATGTATGATGTACGCAGAACCATTGTAAAACTATTAAAAGGCCCTGAAGAGACTAGCATATATTAACCCGGTACTTAATCCTGAGCAGCACTTCAAATACTTTACTACACAATGATATTTTGTGAACATTTCCAGAGTAATGCTTGAAGTATTTAGAAAATGACTTTGGCTCAAGTCCTTCTCTCCAGTTATATTATTTATCCATTCATAATTAGTTGAAATGATGTTGTGTGGATTGTTTAGTGTCTATAGACAAATGAGACTTCTCAGTCATTATTTAGAAGCCTGTTTGTGTTCTCTGAATAATACAGTTCAGTTTTCTTAATGATCAATGTGATTCAATTCTTCCTTCAATTTATCGTTTGATCTCTAATAATGTCACAAAGTTGTAAAAATGCCCATCACAGTTTCATTAAACTGATTGTCTCGTTTAATAGGCCAAATATTCAGTTTCTTAATTCATCAAAATGAAGCACAATTAAGAAGAAGTTGGAACCAAGCAATTAGAAAAAAAGACTAATTTGACCTACTAACGAAATATCTGCAATTTAAATACTGACTTGATCAACAGTTTATTTGTTTCAATGTTCACAAATGTACAGTTCATGTGTAGTTAAACTTAAACCGCATGTATCTTGTGAGTCATTATGTACATGTTCACATATTGGGGCCTTCATATGTCAATATAAATATTGTTATTCTATTTTTGTTTTAACAACTTTATTTTTCAGTTTTTCACAAATACAGTATGTCCAACATTTCTGAAAACAAGTTGCAAACGCCCCAGATCCCACCCCCCTCCAGGTGGTATTCCCCAGTGAATAGACAAACAAACGGAAACAAAATAAACGAATGGTCATAGAAATAAAATATAAAAAATATATAAATACAAGTAAAATAAATGAAAAAATAAGGAATAGACCAAAATAAGCACATACAACAAAAATGACGATAATAGACAGTACGAGTAGATAATCAGATATAATAAAACATCACACACATAACCCAATAATAAGCATTTTTGTTTATGCTGATCTTATTGCCAGCCTTCTAAACCCTTAGTGTGACAAGGTACGTAACAACTTCAAGCCCACAGTTAGTGACCCCAGAGTGCCCAGGTCAATAGTCAAAGACAGATGCAAAGTGAATCAGGTGAGGGATGGGCCTCTAACATGGGTAATAAATAGCGTCCAAGTTTTGTCGTATTTGCTGACTAAACCGCGCACTGCATATCTCAATTGTTCCAAGTCTAGCCCAAGCATCACTTCCCTGATCCAGTGAATATAGGAAGGGGGATTTTTTCCTTTCCAATTTAGCAGTATGAGACGGCGGGCATGCAACGAAGCATAGGCAACCGCATTTTTGTGGAGGGAGGAGAACCCTAGTCCAGTATCAACAGTTCCAAAAATAGCTGTTTGAGGATTAGGAGATAGCATCCTGCCTGATATTGCAGAGAGTGACCGAAACACAGAAGCCCAGAAACTGCTTAATGACGGACATGACCAGAACATATGGCCCAGGGAAACAGGGGAATAATGACACCTGGGACAGGTTGGAGCGACACTGGGAAAGCTCTTAGCTAGTCTGTCGTTGGAGTAATGTAGCCGGTGTACCACTAATACAGAAAGAAGAGGTGTGTATACGTGAAACAATGTTTTCCCAGGCTTCCTCTGAAATAGAATCACCAATATCTCCTTTACATGCTTTTTTAGTTTTGTCCCATGTGGGAGGGCAGTTATTCAGAATCAATGTATATATGTTGGACACAGCCCCTTTATTAAATGGATTCACATTAAGAACCCAGTGAGCTAGATCTTTAGAGGGTGGACATGGATATCCTGGAAAATGTTTAGACGCAAAAGACCGAGCCTGGAGGTATCTAAAGAAGTGAGATTTTGGTATGCTGTGATCCCTACACAAGTGTGTAAAGGATGCAAAACTGCTGTCACTAAAAAGATCTTGAAAATAGACCAGGCCACTTCTATGCCAAACAGCAAATGCCATGTCCAAACGGGATGGTGTAAAAAGGTGATTAGACATTATTGGCGAGAAACTGCATATGCTTTTCAGATTCATATATTCATATTGTTATTCTATTTATTGCACCTTTTTTTGTTTAACCTCTTGTGGTAGCTTATATAAATATTGCTATTCCATTTATTTGATCACACTTTTCTTACTTACACTTCTTATGTTTATATACATATTTGTATTCAATGATATTTCATTATAATTGAAAATGTTTTTCCTAAACTCAAGTTTCTATAAATATGTTTACATTATTCGAAAATGGAGCAACTGATCAATTAAGTATTCTGATTACTCTTATATTAGCTTTTTTAATTGATGTTCTTACAATTACTTAAAATACACCAGCTGCAACTCAGTATCTCCAAACTAAATGGTGTTTGTCCTATGAAGCACCAACAGAGGGCAGTGGTGCCCTTTGAAAGAAAAGAGGCAGCACGTGCACTCTCCATCCTTGAGAGTGTGTGTGTGTGTGTGTGTGTGTGTGTGTGTGTGTGTGTGTGTGTGTGTGTGTGTGTGTGTGTGTGTGTGTGTGTGTGGTGTGTGTGTGTGTGTGTGTGTGTGTGTGTGTGTGTGTGTGTGTGTGTGTGTGTGTGTGTGTGTGTGTAAATATCATGTACAGCTGGGCGTGGCGGGGAATAGATAACACAGTGGGGGACGGGTATGTGCTGATGTAGGTAGCAGGTGCTGTACAAACCTATACATCTCACTGACACCAAAGATTAACTAATGATTTTCATTCACAGGAATTCCTCTCCTCCCCTGGAACGCTGTGTCAACAACTCAACTGCACAATGTAAGAAACACTACACTGATGAAGTATAATAATTGCCTTGATTAGGTCCCATGTCATGGCCATTTCTACTGATCATAATTCCATTGTTGAGGTCTACTAGAATACATTTACATTGTTCAATGTTCCAAGCTCACATTAGTTTCTCATGCAGCATCTCTGTATAGTATGTGTATTCACTCTCTGTCCTACACGGCTTGTTGGAGCTCCTGCCCCCCCCCCCCCCTCCCTGTGAGCCCACTGTGCTCTGATTGGTCAGCTCACCCACTCTGTTCTGATGAGTCTACCACTATGGTCTACCACCGTTACAGCGGAACATCAGTGATTATGTGTCACAATGGCGTTAGCAACCAGAAAATGACACCAGTAAGGACAAACAGATGAGAATGCTGCGTGGGGTCTGGGTGCCGTGTTGGCAGGACGTTGTGCAGCTCGCTGCTGCGAGGAGCGGACAGTGTGAGCTGGGTTCATTTGGGTATGGGCACGTCACTGTACCCAGGAAGAAAAAGATAAATGTCCAACGAGGCGTTCTGGGGCAGCATAGACAGGTCTTTTCTGTGTTAGTTTTACTCGCTACAGGGTGTACTTTGAGGGTTTGTGACTCTGCAGACCGTTTACATGCAGAACCGCCTTCATAACACACAAGGGGATGGGTCAGAACCGGAAAAGCATGACATGGGACCTTTAACCTTCATGCCTTTACTAATAACTAATTCAGTGCTAACAGCAGAGTGAATGGTGTGCCTTCACATATTCAGTGCTGTCTTTTTCCCACAGATACGCTGAAGTCACTCCCAGTTTATTTGATCTAAGGCGCTTCTGCTAGGCGGGCGCAGCAGAGTAAGTGATGGTGGTGTTGAATTTGATTCAAAAGATTAAACCTCTTTTTTTAAACACAGCCTGGATCCAGAGTCCTGCACGGGTCTGATTTTCAAGACCCGCTCCCGCCCCGCACCCGCGACGTGCAATACCGAACCCGCCCCGCTACCCGCACATATTGCCAATTAGTTCCGCAACCCGACCCGACCCGTCGGCACAAGATCCGCAACCCGACCCGAACCCGCATAGCCTATGAGCAGTGAAAACGTGCAATTATTAACACACGCAGTTGCATATTTGTCTCAAAAAGCGTGGGATGTTGGTTATTTTCTCCATCTAGGAACCAAAAGCCTCCCAGACGCTGGATTTCGCTCTTGAGGAAGTGTTATTGAAAATGCTGTATTCTCCGCTAGAGAGCTTCACCTCAGCCATTTCGAATGTGGCGCGCTCAGCAGCAGATTGATGCGCTGCAGAGGTTATGATTATACGCGGTCCCGCGGGGGTGAGGTCTGAGGATTTAAACATTAAACTAAATTACTATTATTTTAATATATTTATTATGCAACACCCGCGACCCGACCCGCATCATCTTTGTTTTACCCAGAACCGAACCCGGAAAAAAGCGTTTGATAAAATACCACCCGCGAATCACCTTTTTTGCGGGTCACCCGTCGGGTACCCGACCCGATGCAGGACTCTGCCTGGATCACAATCCATCCAACTTGTATTCATATTTCCACATAATAAACATAATTTCGATGCAAAGGCAAGCCCTCTGATTAATGAAGCAGTGGATAGAATCGATTTACCAAGACGTGTTTCATGTTCAATGTGATATTTCAACAGACAGAAGTCCAGAAGAAAAAATAATCTAATGGTTAAGTACAAAGGTACAAAAAAGTATACTATTTACATTCTATGTGTACACCCTGCCCAACTTTTGCTTTGTTGGAAGCACCTTTTTACAGCAACAAGTCTTTGTAAATAAGTCTCTCAGCTTTTATATTTTACACCAGTCCTCTTCGAAAAATGTCCTCACACAATATACATTATGCAGGACATTTCCTTGTCTGAAGCCATACCTTGGCTGAAGTCGATTTGTGTGCTTTTGGTGTTTGTCATGATGAAATGTGAAATTCCTTCTATTCTTTAGCTTTTTGACACCAGAAGGTTTTCTGCAAAAATATGGCATACAACCTGGAACAAAGGTCCCAAGGTTAGAATACATCTGGATGCTGCAGTGGTATAGCATATAGTGTAACCACTCTAACACACAGGCGCTCCACTCCACAGCATAATGAGTTCTCTGTTAGATCACCATTATTCAGCCAACACCTCCTGTTGAAAACTCCCCGTCTTGTTAACCCATTAACCACGTTTCCATGTCTTAACCCTGTGATGTGTTCAGGTGCAGACTTTAGTCTCCCCATTCTGCTGGAAGGCTGCCAGCCACAGGTCACATGACCTGGAAGAAAAAACCTGGGAGACTTTCGGGATCCCTTTTCGGTGAGACACACCTTCTCATTGTTATTGCTAGCACACAATACGAGCAGCATGACGGATGGCGGGTCGCTCTATTTTGAAAGAAAAGCAATGAATGAGTCTAGGTTTGCTTCAGAAAGTATTGATCCTGTACAGAAACACTGACTTTGCCAAGAAAAACAAACGTATGTATTGATATGGTATACTTATATTCTGTTTTAAAGCATTTTTGTAGTGCTCCAACTTACTTCCTACTTCATTGTTACCTCTCTTTTCATTGGGCTTTAGCATGGGCTGCTTATCAACCTGAAGGGAAGTCCAAAGGCTGATGAACTGATCTCTGTGTGACACCACGTTGCTCTGGAGTCCTATATGCCCTGGGATACAACACCCAGCGCAAATCTGGTGAGTAAAGACACTCCTTTGAGCAGTCAATGGTAATTGACTGTTAAAGGGCCACTTTAAGCCTCTAACTGATGAGATGAACTCCTCCATTACAGAGAGGTTCAAGCTAGCAGGTTTCCTCAGAAGTTTTATAAAGCTGATGGGGGCTGTGTCACTGGCCTTGATGCGTGAGATTTTGAATAAGCCTTACTATCAATGCTATAATGTGAAGAATTAGTGTAGTTGCCCATACGAATGAGAAATGGTTTGTGCTCATGACTGAACATCCAATATTCGCTCATCATTTCTCAAATATTCTCCAACCACTTCTTAATTGTATCTGTTCTGCCTCTCAGTCTCCCTAAATGCTCTGTAAAGAATAAGTACAAGGCATATACTATATCACTACAACATTGTAGTAGGGCTGCTGATTGCCAACATATAATGCTGACATCATGCAGTTTTTTTTTTTGCAAATTCAAAAATTGTTGAACTCACAGATGAAAATATATGTTTCTGTCTGCATTTTATGTTTGCTCAAGTTGATCAAGGCTGCATTACAAAATGTTTTCAATGAAATGTAAACTAAATGTCTCATTAGACATTTAAATAAAGAAAACGTAGATACAATTCAATCCATTTGACTTACACCTATCATTTATCAGAAGATATGATCATCTTGTTTCAGAGAGAGAAAGTTAACTATCAAAAAAAAGAAAGTACATAAACAATGTTTCGAGTCCCAGTTTGTGCAGCCCATTGTAAAACAGGTCAAATGTTTTCTGCTGCACTCTCTGAAGTTTGCCTTTTCATCATTTTCCCCACCTTGCTAAATGTTCTCTCAGCAACTTCTTTTTTTGGGGTTTTTTCTGCAATTCTTCTACTAAACCCGTTGTTCCTCTTATTTTCATAAATAGTCACCAACTACTGGACTAGGGGTTTAGCTAAAGCAAATAATAATAATAATAATAATAATACATGAGACTTGTATAGCGCTTTTCTAGAAACTAAAAGACGCTTTGACAAAGAATAAAACAAAATAAAGAATAAAAAATACAAAGAAAAATACAAAAAGAGATAGGTAGGGGGGGGGTGGTCAGTGGTTGAATGCAGTGTTGAACAGGTGGGTTTTGAGTGATGTTTTGAATGCTGTGAGGGAGGAAGAATCTCTGCTGGATTGGGGTAGTGAGTTCCAGAGGGTGGGTGCAGCAACGGAGAAGGCTCTGTCGCCCCAGGACTTGAGGTTGGTCCGGTTGGGGGGGGGGGGGGGGGGGGGGGGGGGGGGGGGGGGGGGCAGGAGGTTGGCAGCAGCAGAGCGGAGGGAGCGAGTAGGAGTGTGTTTAGGATCAGATCCTTGGTTTCCAGTTGTGGCTTGGTTTTATGCCTCTTCCTTGCTCAGCTCAAGAGTCACTTCTTCGACAACGCCCAGTGTGTTGATCACATTTGAGTTGATATGCATTGTTCTAGGGTTGGACATGTAGATTTCTTCCTGCTTCGGCCTAAGCATCATCTGCTTGTGTGAACAATGTAGTTCCAGTTGATGGGAACAGTTTGACTGATTCAAGTCTTCTTGAAGGTTTTCGGACTATTTTTGCAAACACAATGTGGTTGCAATGCATTGCACATGTCCTTCAGTGCTCTCTTACATGATGTAATCTATGCTCTGCAGCTGAAGTCCGAGAACTCTGGAAGTCTCATGCATTGGATCATGTTTGCACATATCAGTCTGAGCACAAGCAACTCTCTGTCTTGGTTGACATCGCAATGGATCATCCTGTAAAGAAACAGCCTGCTGATGTAGTCCGAGCCAGAAATGTAAGAGTACCATTTCCTTTCCTTGTGATGGTCTATCTATACAATGTATCAGTTTCCCTACACTAACAGTCTGTGGGAAAGAAGAATGGGGTCCAGCATTCTATGTCGCAGTCAGTGCTTTTCTTCAAAACCTTTTGTACACAATTTCCAGCATCTCTTTGTGGGTAGTAGATCTCTGTGGCAAAAGTTCCATCCTTAAGTGTCAATTCGTTTCCACCGAGATCCAATTCATACAATTTTCTTTGAGAATCACACAACCGTATCACAGTAGGGCGAACAAGTCCTCTCTAGCAGCATTTTCTTGTTTGTTCCGAGCCTTATTATAGGCGGGGAACTTCCAGATGTTTGTGATGTGTTCTTTATTCAGCATTTCAGCCCCAATGCTCACCAAGTCGCTACAGATATTGCACATGCACTTTGCATAGATCTGCTATCAAAACAGAAAAAAAGGCAAGGTCACTATCTGGTTTGTAAATACATTTGAGAACGGTCATTACAAAGGACGAACCAGTCAACTGAGAATGTAGCGTCTTAGCAAGAGCTTCATTGTTTCTGTAGAGAAGAAGAAAACTCATTAATTTGATCAAAAGGAGTTGGTAAGATCTCAAAAGATTAATCAGGACAAATCATATTTGTTTGGTTTATTATTAGTTAATGTAATGCAATTAGTCATCAGAAGGGCTATTTACAATTTATTTATCAAAATACAAGAATTGGAGTTAATGTATTTGGTTATTTTCATCTATGACAGACGTCATAATATAAACAATGACAATGACAATATAAACAATGACGTAAAGTATGTACTTTTAAATACTTTAGCTTAAGAACTATATTGCATTCATTTGCAGTTTAGCGTGTGTTGTCACATTAAACTGCTGATAATATTTTAAGGGCACGCTCACACGTGTTAAATCAACATTTGCTTCTGGTTCATTACTATTCAAAGTGAGTGAAGGGCTGACTCGGTTTAGCAAGAAGATCATCTTTGGTGAACTTTCAGCCAGGTAAATAAATACTTGTGTCAATTACAGCCATCCGCATACGTGTGACTATGCCCTAGCTAGGGCGAAACAGAAACGTATCTCTGTTAGCCAATGACATCATAGGACTCTGCTAGCTATGGCTGCTTACAGCTAGCTGTCACTCCTCCTGAGGACAAAAGAGAAACCTATTTGTAGTAATGAGCACTTGCAATAGTAAAACCAAGCTAGAAATTGAAGTCTTCAAATGTTTCTCTCCGGTAACATTCCACCCAGCATTTGCAGGTTTCCCACTGTTTGAAAGCATCCCATAACTCTGGCTGTAGAATGGTGAAATTGACAAAAGTGGAAGCGCTTACTTGGAGTTGAACATTTGATGAAATTAGCCTGGTGAGCACAGGTTTATTGAATGGCAAATGTATGCCATTCAACCAGGCCTCCAAATATCATCTCTCAAGCTTGGATTAATTACTTCAATGTTTTTTTTAGATGCTTCATTGTGACGTCTATCAACATTTGTAAAAGTAAAGGTCCCTTGCACTACTTTAAACTGTGAGCTGTGGGGAAGAATTCCTTAAGGCAGACTTTACCCTTTGCCGATGAAACAGCTTTTTAGATTTTACCGAGGTCAGGGGTTACTAAGGAAAAGCCCTACAGGCAGGTTAAAACATCACATCCTAATAAATACACAAAGCTTAGAAGTCAAACGATAAAGAAAACTTTATTTTGAAAGACATTTGAACACCCTTGGCGATAAAGTAGGGTTGAGTGATTAGTTCAAATGAAAAAGCTCAACTACCAGTATTTGTCTATTCATTATGCAGGTGTTTGTGCCGCACACACACACACACACACTCAGGGGAAGTCTCAAATCCCAACATGCCATGGAATGTTTTGGTGTAGGGCTGTGCAATTAACCGTATTTTAATCTCGATTTTGGCTTGCAACGATTATGAAAACAACGTAATCGAAATAAAACGATTATTTTGCTGCGTGCGCTTTCACCCCTCCCTAAAAGCCCTCTCGGCCAGGTTGTGAGTGACAATAGTTGTGTGAGTTCAGCGCGAGCGAAGATGGCAGAACAGGAGCAGCTCGTGAACAAGAAAGGTCAAACTAATTCCGCTGTTTGGAAATACTTTGGGTTTAAGGAGTCCGACGGTGAACAAAAAACAGTACAGTGCAGCAGGGGCGGACTGGCCATCTGTGTGTTCTGGAGAATCACAGCCGCTTTTTTTTAACGTCATCATTTCAGTTGCACTGACAGGCGACAGAAGTCCACAGTTTCCCCGCATGATGTTTCCAAACTTAATAGGAAAACCATCATGTTTGATACAAAGAAAACGGGATATTAAAGTCATATTTGTTGAAGCCTTTGGGGCAGCACAGCCATATTCAGCCTCAGTATGTCGACTTTTGACTCCAATGTAAAGTCAGCTGTCTCTGTTGGGATAAAAGGTCCATCAACACACTACACAGAGACTCAGATACTCGTACAGCTGTGCACAAGTTGAACCTCTTTGCACTTCTTTGCATCTGAATAGGGCTGCACGGTATTGAAAAAACTGACACCGCGATTTTTTCCCCCCCTGCGGTATATATTGCGTTTTTTTTTAACCTGTTAAACCCCAAAGTCGCGGCGGGGGTACTTTACTTTTTTTTTCACGAGTGTCTCAGGGGATCGTAATATTAAGAACCTATTAATGTGTTATACCAGATTAACAGAAATAATCTCAGCTAACTGACGATACAAACCATTTTTACCAAAACAAAAACACAAGTCTCATAAGAAGCATCTAAATGACCCCTGAGCGAAAAATGCTAACGCACTTTGGCACAGAACTCAAGATAAAAGTACCCTTATTATTACTTATCGTAGCTGCACTTACAAGATATCCGATTAAAGCTGAGGTTCCACAGATTATTTAGGTATATAGTATCATCACTGAGTGATCTGAACTCGGACAGGGGAAGCAAACACAGACATCACAACACGTACCTTTACGTAGCTTCTAGGGGAGATGTCTCACCGTAGCTGTCAATCTGATCAAAAGACGTGTTCAATGGCATTAAAACGAGAAAGAAAAAACGAGGCTGAATCGGTTAATCCATATGTTTTTTCCATAGGCCAAAATAGTTCCAGATGGCAGATGTTGCTTTTCTTCTTGGAAGTAAATCTTCATTCTCTCCGGTATTGTCCTCCTGTGCCTCGCTCATTTGTTACCA